CCCCCCCCCCCCCCCCAAAAAAAGTGTTTTTTAGTCAGTGACACAGGCGGCTCGGAAGAAAAAATCTGAGTTTTCCCAACAGGAGTGGAACCTGTGACCTTCTAGTTAGGCACAAACATCACCTCACTGAACGGCTCACACAATTTGTTGTGAAAACAATAGGATAACCACCCAAACAATAACTCTAACCATCAACACAAAAGGGAATATTGTTTTAGACCACCACTTAAATTAGAGGTTCTTGGGAGGTACTGGGCTACTCGCTAGTTACCAGTCCAGGTGCTCTAGTTGACTAGAAGGTTGGACTCCTGTTGGATTACTCCGTTTGTTTCTTCCGCCAGTCGCCTGTGTAACTGGCTAAAATAACAACATTTTCGGGGGCTTTTCACTTGATGAGATAAACAGTAACTGCATGAACCCGAAATTTAAGGCGGCCAATGCTGGAAGTCGTTAACCTTATCACTTCCGGAACTTTAGGTGGAACTTAACGGTTGAATGGTAAACTGTAAGTAACTTTCTATAGGCCTTTGAAGAACATTTGGCATGGATCGTATTCAGATGGTAACAAGTACCCTAAAAATTGTCGCAGCTGGATGAGCAATAGTTCCCAGGACTTAAGTTCGGCCTCGGCCTTAAACGGGCGAACTCCGGCCTTGGACGAGCAAGAATTTCCATGTAATAGTAAACTCATCGTGTTGTGTGTGCGAATCAACCCTACGCTGCGTAGAAGATTTAGAGCTGCACATAAACATATTGTATGAGCAGGACGTCCAGCTGTCATGGATAGGTTCTTTAAAAAGAAGTACGTAAATGGCTCTGCAGAAAGGAAGCTACAAAATATGCTGACAAAACACATTTTACAGGAATCCTATTACAGAATTTCAATTCCCTAAGAAGGTTTTCTGCTGCTAGAGAAGATGATAGAATGTTATTACAAGCTTTTTACTTAGGGAGTATAAATATTTATATGACCCCCCAAAATAATAATTCCATTTTGGTCTCGTTTCTAGCTTTATTGACTCAGTTATGAGATCACACAAAATAATCAGATAAGATATTTAACTGTCTTGTGATGCTCCTGGCCATCAGGGTTCTACCTAAGTAAACTATGTATGAATATAAAAAAGTTGGAAATTAAAACATCTGCAAAAAAAAAAAAAGTGGGAGCAGCGTGAGGTGCTACCAGCCCAAGCTGCTAATTAAGATTGAGAACACAAGGTGTGCTTGGCATTTTGTATGCGTCCGTCCCGTAACACCAGTATACACCGCTCAGAGCAATGAGGACTCCAAATCAGGAGGCAGATTGAGCAGACTAGTGACGAAATTAATTTGTAATCTATAGAAATATATCTGGTACAACCAGTGTATTCGGGACTAGAAGAAGCATACAAACGCGCTATATCAATAGACAGCTTTTGCTTTTACCAACTGGTCTGAGGATTTGTAAAAACGTCAAAATAGTTGTCCAGTTTGGAAGAGAACAAAAATATGCGTATTAATATGTCTGCCGACACTCAAGGGATTCTTGCTAGTGTCCAGTTATAATATGTAGACCTGACGTGACCGTTGTTCCACAGAAGAATGGAGAAGAAAACTGTGGAACTCACTGAAACTCGTCCCCGCTTAATGCACGGCGTTTGGGTCCGCTCAGTACAGGTTTCACTTTAACGACGAAATTGAACTCAATTAAAACAGATTGCATTGGGGTATGCTATAAAATCATAGGCAAGATTCTTTTTGAGTCTGTTTCACTTTGTATAATTTTATGATTGATGCCCAATCGTCATAAACAGAGACGCTAGTGTTATCACGCTTAAATAACAACAGAGACGTTTAGAATCTAAGGCAAGGACGACTACGAGTACGAGATTTTCTCAGTAATAAGTAATGCGCGAGTGACCAGCGTCATTTTGGCTGGAAAACGTAATAGTCGTCGTCATTTTTTTACCATTTTTAGACAGAATGTCCTAGTGGCGGAAACAAGTTATCAAAAGTTAAAATTTCTATCATTTTGCGATCAGGAGAGGGCTTAATGTCCTTCAATGAACATAACAGTGCTAATTTCTCCAGTGAAAAATAACGACACCTCTTCCGGGGTGTCGTTATTTTAGAATACGCAAAAGAAACTTTCTCATACTGGTAGTCGTTCTCGTCTTCGAATCTATTAAGGTTTCTGTTATCTGAAGATAACATTTCTTTTTATTACAGTTTAAAAAGATAGTAACATAAATTTCGTACCTAGTTCTTGACTACGTTGTTATGGATAATTTAGATATTTGTCCTAATATAATAGCCTCAACGAAGTTCAAACTTTTTCAAACATATGCTATTCAGTAAATTGGAGATGTTGGTAGAGCTTTCGCAATTTTTCTTTTTTTTTCTTTAAATAAGATAGGATGACGTGATGATGAAAGTTATTTTTTAAGTTTGCAACACTGTTTATATGTTTAGTTCACTACAACAACAAAAACTTGCACTTTAAACTCTCTTTTCATTTATCGTCTTTTCATTTATTGAATAAGCCGAACGATACATCTGTAACTGCAATAGCTACGCTTTGTGTTATTTGCTAAATATTAATAAAGTCGTAGAAATTTTGTGGCAGTTTGTCCTACTTTATCTCAGAGAACGAATTAACAGGCAAAACTAATCTGGCCATACACATGAGCAGTGTTGCTTCAATAGGTGATGTGTGCATAATTTTAAAAATTACTCGTTATTTCCGCTGGCTATATTTGCCCTTTTCAGATCCGAAATTAAGAAACGCTGGGGATCAAGTATCCAAAGTGTCGGATCTTTGTTGGTCATTCAGGCCAATTATCCGTAATCTTATCTTGGTTAAATTCTTGAATTTAAGAAAGAGACGCGCCAAAAATTTACAAGAAGAATGCCTGAAACTAAGGGCTCTTACAACTTTAACACCCTGATTCTGACTGGCCAGTTACTAAAATCAAGAATAGGCCATTTCAGAGTAGTTCCAGGTCTCTGTTTCAAAGCGATGCTAAGTGCGAAACCATTGTTAAGAAAATGACTTTGTATTCTCATGCAAATAATACTCGTTTTCTCAACAAAAGTTTTGCTCTTAGTGAGAATTTTTGGAACTCGGAAATGGCCTTTTAGACTGAGTTTTTAAAAGTCTTCTTTGAGCAAATAGATCGTTTTACAAAACAATGAATCGCCGGCCACGTTTGAGCACCAACAGAATCCTGTAAGGATTGAACTCCTTTCTCAAGAAAAAAATTTCTTTCGTTCTAAGAAATTTGTATTAAAATAGCTGCTTACCACGTGAGTGAAAACGATCTATTGGAAATCGAGAAAGAGCTGTCTAATTTTTTTAGCAAAAACCAACCAGCATGCAACGTTAGATTCTGACAAAAAGTTTAGATGAGAGTATGGACAAGAAGCCTTTGTATACACAGCTTCAATTCCGCAAACATTGTTTGATTGTCACAAAGGTTTTTGCGTGCTTTAATACGTAACTCCATGTCTTTCAGTTGATTTTTGATGCCATGTTCATTCTAAAACAGATTATTTTGTGATGACTATTTAGGAATAGATCCAGAATTTCTATTTATTCCAGAATAAGGTCAACCCTATTGAATTTGAGTAACGGCTGCACACGTATTTCTGGAAGTTCAACATTTTCCTCAAGCGCTGATTGGTTACTCTTGAAGCATGACTGACACGTACCACAAACAACCCGTAGGTAATTCTTCAGCGCTTGACGGTAGTTTGTACTCAGCGAAAAGATGATGAGAGGATTCAAAAAAGTACTTAGAAATGGTAGGAAAAAGACGGCGAAGATATGGAAAATTTGTCGATGAACTTTAGACAGTTGTAGATCGCTTGTAAACTCGCAAATAGGAAAAGCAGTTCTCGGTGTATAACACAAGAAGAAGACAACAATGATTAAAATTAGCATCTTCATTATTCGCTGATTTCTTTTATGTCTTATGGCGCTGCTCAGACTGTTTCCTTGAATAACAGGATTAGTTTTACGCAACGAATTGATGATACATATGTTTAAGATTGTAATGACGATAAGCGGTAGGAAATAGAAGCCCAAAAGCCGTACAAAGGTGTAAGCGGAGTACAGTGTGTTGAACTTTCTCGGAGAGCAAATGAGAGGTTTTTCAGTTTCCTTAGCCAGCCTTACTTCAAACCAAGCCGGAATTACGAAAACCAATGAGAAGACCCAGCTTAGCCAAATGAAAATTGATCTTACCGGGCGTGAAATCATCGACACTTTCATAGGAAACACGATGGCAACGAACCTGTCTACTGAAATAAGCATTAAGCTTAAAACCGACAATGATAATGAAAGATATCCAAAATATGCACCAAGTTTGCAAACGAATGGAGTCAGGACGTCTCCAAAAACTGAAAGCTCGCTCATTGAATAAAAGGTCCTAAAACTGACCACACAAAGCACATCCGAGAAAGCCATACTCGTGATGTAGTAGTTAGTGCTGGTGCGCAGATTTTGTGGTCTTAAAGACAGTGTTATCTCAACTGCATTACCGATGATAGATGCGAAGGCGATTATAGACACCACTATGTAAAAAAAGAACTTTCAAAGTGAAAGGCAGTTCCATTTCTTCGTTACCTTGAGTAAGATGGTTAGTAGATTGTTCATTTCGTTTCTTTAAAATTTCTTTTTCTAGAGAAAGTTTTGTACCGGAGGTACAAATATAAAATCACTCAGCTCTTTGGTAATCGCCGTGTCTTGGACATAAAAAATACGTGTTCACTTTAAGTTCAAACCACTTTAAAAGGTTTCTTGTCATAACTAATAATGACGAGAGCTTGTTAACACAGTTTTTTTGATAGGAGCCAACCCCATGCAAACTGTCAAAAGTTACAAATAATTCTTTTCCCGTCGTGGAGGTCTAAAAGGTTTTGTTAATAGTTTACATAGGTGTTTCAAATAATTGCTGAAACATCTGCGCGATTCGATGTATGAATTTTTCAGACGTTTTTGCAACATAATTCTGTACTGTTGTCAGTGTGTGTTTGTATTCGATCATGGTGGAATAAATGACCCCAACGTCTGACTAATATCTTATGCCAGACCTCGCTAGACGTATATATAAAAAAGAACCGATCGACCACAAGCGGTCTGCATATGAGATTAATTCAATACATTTGTTGTTGTTGTTGTTGTTGTTGTTGTTGTTGTTGTTGTTGTTATTTTTGTCATTTCATTTTATTTCATTTCATTTCAAGGAAACCTGTAGTTCCCCAGCTGGGGTGTTTTCATATAAATTGTTTCGGTAGAAAAATAATAAATTAAAGCAGACACAATTCTGCAAAGCAGTTTTTTACAGGCTCATATGGCTTAAAACCACTATCGATAACGCTTCAGCAAAATATTTGTACAATTTGTTTGATGAAGACTACGTAAGACTAAAATGCGATAATTATCTCTGGGACAAAGAAAAAGCCGTGTTCACCTGTTCTCAGCATATACTAATTAGCATACATTCGAGCTCCGTAACACCGAGTAATTACCCTTAGGTTCTCTCTGATGTGAGGTCACATTCAGCCCCGGGGGCCTGGGTATTCAGCATTTGTCATCTTGTTACCACTGGAAGTCTAAGAGCAAGACTTATCAAAAGGTTTATGTCTAAAAAAAAGCTCTGTTGAGAAACAAATTGAGTACGGTCTAGTCGCCCTTTTTTCCGTGTTTGTACCGGTCTGGGCCACAAGGTAAATTTTGTTTTCTTTTTTTAATTACAGTGGAACATCTAGATCTCCTCTAGGACGCCTCGATTCAAGGACCCCCATTCAGGGGACGCAAAATTTGACCCCCGAAAAAGGTTCACAACATCTTTGTATTTGTTACTTCTATTGAAGGGCCACTTCTATTCAGGGGAAAGGGACAGTTTCTGGGCCCCAAAACCTGGTTTTAACCTCTTTTAGAAGGGACATCCTAGTACTCAAAACCACAATGTTTGATAAGTTTCATTGCTCACTTGTCAAAATGACTACAGCTTTTTTAAAAAATATGAACTGTCTCACTAAAATCGATGTACTAAACTTTTGGGAATTCAACACACAACATCCCAGATTATAATTAAATCATGATTTTTTTGTGCATTATCTAGCTGCTTGAAATAATGACTGCATAAGAAACACTTGTGAAGGCAAAACCGTAACGACAAACCAGTGATGGTCAGCAGGATCCTTAGTAGTCCTGGATCAGTAAAATCTTCAATACCAAATTGAAAAATTAAAGCAGTAAACTGATCTTTACGGCTGCAGGAAGAGTCATACGAAAAAAAAGAAAGAAAACAAAAATAAAATGGTGAATTATATTTGCCCGATATTCCAGTTTGCAACACAAACCTTCAACGGGCGCTATAAAAGCAAAATGAATATAGATACAAGATGAACGTTACATTTCCAAGATANCTTGTTACCACTGGAAGTCTAAGAGCAAGACTTATCAAAAGGTTTATGTCTAAAAAAAAGCTCTGTTGAGAAACAAATTGAGTACGGTCTAGTCGCCCTTTTTTCCGTGTTTGTACCGGTCTGGGCCACAAGGTAAATTTTGTTTTCTTTTTTTAATTACAGTGGAACATCTAGATCTCCTCTAGGACGCCTCGATTCAAGGACCCCCATTCAGGGGACGCAAAATTTGACCCCCGAGAAAGGTTCACAACATCTTTGTATTTGTTACTTCTATTGAAGGGCCACTTCTATTCAGGGGAAAGGGACGGTTTCTGGGCCCCAAAACCTGGTTTTAACCTCTTTTAGAAGGGACATCCTAGTACTCAAAACCACAATGTTTGATAAGTTTCATTGCTCACTTGTCAAAATGACTACAGCTTTTTTAAAAAATATGAACTGTCTCACTAAAATCGATGTACTAAACTTTTGGGAATTCAACACACAACATCCCAGATTATAATTAAATCATGATTTTTTTTGTGCATTATCTAGCTGCTTGAAATAATGACTGCATAAGAAACACTTGTGGAGGCAAAACCGTAACGACAAACCAGTGATGGTCAGCAGGATCCTTAGTAGTCCTGGATCAGTAAAATCTTCAATACCAAATTGAAAAATTAAAGCAGTAAACTGATCTTTACGGCTGCAGGAAGAGTCATACGAAAAAAAAGAAAGAAAACAAAAATAAAATGGTGAATTATATTTGCCCGATATTCCAGTTTGCAACACAAACCTTCAACGGGCGCTATAAAAGCAAAATGAATATAGACACAAGATGAACGTTACATTTCCAAGATAAATAGTAAAAAGATAACTGATGAGTTCATCACGTCTATTTATACCACGGGGTTATAATGTCATAGCTTTGTCGATGAGGTGAGCGGCGCGTGCCTTTCTGACCTAGTCACGGTTTCTACGGATTAGGTCCAGCGGAATAGGAAGGACGTCGTTGATAGAGTGATCGGCTTGATTAAAATGTTCAGAGACGGGAGTAGAATTAGGAAAGTGGCCATAGTTGAGGATGAAGCAGAGAGCTCCCCAAAACGTTTGAGGAGATGGCGCTTGGTCTTCCCGATGCATTGTTTGCCGCATTTTTGACTGCAAAAAAAAAATCGTCGCTCGCTAGCGGATGTCTTTTAATGACTGCGGCAGATTCCGAGGCAGAATTAAAGAAAAATTTTATTTGTTGGTTAATTATTTACAAACCTCAACCCAACCTCCATTCAGGGGAAACCTCTATTCAGGGGACACTTAACTTGGTCCCGAGGGTGTCCCCTGAATTGTCCCCTGAATTGAGGTTCCACTGTAAAACATTTTCTAGTGACTTTAATGACGTCATTTGATCAAGTCTGACACTGGGCTTTGAACCGTAGTTAACAACCAGGGCTGAGTTGCTCAAAGCATGGTTAGCTTTAACCATTGGTTAAGCAGTATCAAAACCAATACGTTGTCAAGGTATTAAACGCTGGTTAACGCTAACCATGCTTCGAGCAACTGGGCCCAGAGTGTTTCTTCGTGTACCTATTACGAGTAAAAAACAACGCGCTCGCTTCTTTGCAACCAGACGACAAAAAGTGGTACAGAAAGAAAATTTCGGCTCGAATCTTGAACATTACAGGAAAGGATAGGGGCAAGGTTCCAAGACAAACAATTTTTTTTTTTTGGGGGGGGGGACGGGTGGGGGGGAGTCACCATCATTACGCTTAAAATCCTTTGGATTACAAAAGCTGCCTTTGTTACCTCTCTTCACTAGACGACTGTCAAAAATCACCACCACTTTTAATATAAGTTATATTTCGCAGTAGACGATGCGCAAAAGCAAGAAGCTCACCTCGTGCTTTCCCTTATTCATAGTCAGTTTCGTATTCCAATTCAGGCTAACCTTAGGTTTTGACCACCCGAGTCTGTAGATTGAAATAATTTAGAAGTTTATGAGTAACCGACCACCTACCCATCCCCTAAGTCACCATTAACACTTACTTGTTAGTTAGGGCAAAATTGTGACTTAGGCGAGGGGTGGGTGGTCAGTTACCCAGAAACGTCAATTGATTGCAAAATTTGTTAACGAATACATAGAGGATATTATACGGTGGCGCGAAGATATAAATTTTATTTGCGAGTGGGAAAACAATATTTTACGAACGAGCGCAGCGAGTGAGTAAAATATTGTTTTTGCCACGAGAAGATAAAATTCGTATCTTCAAGCCGCCGTGTAATGTTCTTTTTATTATATAGACAAAAAGACATCGATAAAATAATTAACAATTAATGAAAGAGGCTGAGTATCTTATGAACTCGTATTTTGGAATGATATAGATCAAAAGTTTTTTAGTTACTTGTTAAGTTTTTGTATTAGTTTAGCTTTTAAATGCATTTTAATTGCTGTATTTTAGCTTTTTTAAACAATTTTTTAATCTGTTGTATTTTTAACTTTTAGTGTATTTTTAGTTACTGTAATTTAGGCTAGGTTTATATAGATATACATGTATTTTTATTTTTTTTCCAGGGTCCTCATTGATAGCAGCATTCTATGCTGAAGTGATAACCCTGGCTAAATAACATTTATTATTATTATTATTATTAAGAATTATGGAGGTCGAGGAGGGTGTTATCGGCCGAGGCGGATAACACCCTCCGAGATCTCCCTAATTCTTCATATGATACGAAAGGCGAGTTCAATAATTGTTTTATTATTCATTCAAAATAATTCCTAGTTTAAAAACATGGCTAAAACATGCTTACCTCCATCGATCCATCCATGTTAAGTTCTTCTTCGATAGTGCATGTTTAGGTTTGTGCAGCTCCGCAAATATTCTCCAATCCTCGCCAAAATCCTTGAAACACCCATGCACGTCCCTTTCCCTCTGCAATTTTGAGATGTGATTGCGATGTTACGTGGCTACAACATCATTGGTAAAGGGAGGGGAAAACGAAAGGGAGCAAAATTTTCCAAAGTGTTTCAAGGTTTTTGTCGAAGATTGTAGTTTCGATATCCCAACGACTAACTACACACAATGTATGACTGTGTTTCAATTTTTCTCAAGCCTGAACGACTTTCACTGTTAATAGAGAGTGTGCTGAGCGCAAAAAGATGTTATGAATATCATATGTAAAGCTTTATTATTAGTTTATATAAGGGATTGCATTTGACTATCACCTATTAATTGAAATGGTATTGGATGAATATGGCATGCCGATTAGATGAAGAATTAGAATGAATATAGGGAGATGACAAAGTTTCGACTGAAATGGGAAGGGTTGTGAAGTAGATTAATTTGAGAATGGCTATAAATTAAAATTCCTTTGAAAAATATAAATTAACTTCGTGTAAGCGACAGGTGCAGGATTGGAATGACTCAGCACGCGCGGTGATAGACTGTAGCTTTAAATCAGACAGATTAGTTATCTACTGGAAAACTTAATTAAATCTACCTCTTTGTATGCTTTAAGAAGAAATTAATCAATTTACTTGGGCTTTGTGGTGGTCATCTCATTAAGGTTAGCTTTATTTATGTCGTTTCGTTTGTTCTAGAATACGTGGGTGTCATTATATTTTAAAGGCAAAACTGTGCAATAAAACAAAGGCTAGAATCTTAATACGAGACTGACGCTATATTACTTTCCAGTTCATAACATTACCAGTTGCTTCAATTTAAGGTGAAAATGATCAACACAAGTCGTTCCAGCTCATCCGATGGCCTTCCATTTAAGTTTTGCTCAAATCACAAGTTCCTACACACTTGTGATCTTGTAACAATTCTCACTTGCATTGTAAATGGCGCGTCTTCGCCAGTGGCTGTAGCAGGAAATTCTCTGATTTTGGCATCAATTTGGAGGAACCCTTCTCTTCGAACCCCCACGTATACGTTCCTTGGTTTCCTTGCGTTAGCAGACTTATTTATAGGGCTTCTTGGTCAGCCATTTTATGTTATATACAGAGTCGCAGATCTTAAGGGGTATGACAAGCTTTATTGTGTAGCATCCGCAGTCGCTCATAGCATCGTCCCCTATCTAGTTATCCTGACAGCATCGACGTTAACATCAATGGCGGTGGAAAGATGGTTAGTTATGAGCCGCCGAAGCTCCTTAATAACTGTTCGGAGAGTATATTTTATCGAGGGTGCTCTGTTGGTGGTACCGGTGCCATATATGGCACTTCGCAGACTGCCAGGAATGGATAAGTATTTTGACTTACCTGTTGACTCCATCATAGAAGGATGCATGGGTTTTTGCTTCTTTGCTATATTTACTCTATCGTACTTTAGAGTATTTCGAATAATTCGACACCATCAGCAGCAAGTACATTCAAGTGCAAACATCGCTGGCCAGTCCGTCATTCACTTTGAAAAATATAAAAGATCTGTGTTTTCCATTCTCTGGATTGTGGCGCTTTTCGTGTTGAGTTACTCGCCGTATTTACTTTCTACTGTTCTTGTGAAGGCATTGAATGTTTCCTATGAAACATCTCTCATCGTTCTCCATATAGGAACAACCAGTATGCTAATTTCATCGACCCTGAATCCGTTTCTTTACGTTTGGAGATTGAGAGATGTCCGTCAAGAAGCTAAAAAGGTCATTCGAAAGATATTAGGCAAATTAAGAACATTGTTGTGAAGTATTTTGAAAGTTATTTTTAACACGGATCTATCTTAACTTTTAAGTTTAGTTTTTGTTTCATTAAGTCTTGTTTTTGTCCACGTATTGTTTTCCTGTTTTGATCTTTTTTTTTACTTGTACTTGAAGTTATGCTTAGCTCGCGAATTTACTTATCGCCATATTAGAAATGTTATTCGCTTGGCACTGTCAGATGTTAGTTTTTTTTACAGGTGGTGGTGTTTGTGGTGTTAGAGCTGACCTTCGTTATTTGATGATATAATTTTGCACGAGTTTGTCCTAAAAACGGTATACAATTTCGCGCGAGTCTGTCTAAAAGAGTGTAATGTCCTTTGTCCTGATAATGGTAATAAATTTGAGGGTTTTGTCCTAAACAGGGGTTTCTTAATAAAGTTTTTTTGGCCGAAACAAGTGAAACACCCTCAATTTTATTTCCCTGTATAGAGACAAAGGGCAAAATGCCCCACCGTCTTGTTTTAAAGCCATTTATTGGCAATTGCAACGAGCAAATTCACGTCATCGTCATTGCTTTTATGTACTTGGAGTACAAACGAAATTCATCCAGCAAATCCAATCAATCGTGCAGGCAATACCCTGTTGACGGACTCACATAAAATTATAGACCCTGTTTTCGGACAGCCGCACACGAAATTATATACCCCGTTTAGGATGGAGAGGTCAAAAACCATATCCTGTCCAGCAGCACATCCCCTTATAGGCCATATAAGGAAGTATCCCAGGTGTTGCCACCGCCGTTCTGTAACTTTAACTCCCAATTATTCTTAGTCTTCCCTCGCATCATTAGTTTCTTGGTCAGTGTTACGGACGGGTGCAATCACCAAATGGCGTAATAATAATAATAATAATAATAATAATAATAATAATAATAATAATAATAATAATAACGGTTTATTAGAAGTATATCTATAGGTTACAAATATGAAGTTTCTTGGTGTTGCGCCATGGGTGCAATCACCAAATGACGTAATACAAAAGATTGAAAAGACACTGATCAATACCCACACAAGCAAACTAACAATGGTTTCCTCAACACCAAGAACTTGAACAACACCGCATCAAAATTAAAACTCTTTTTTTCAAAGAAATTTTATTTCAATAGAGTCTCAACAAAATGCGTATTTTGGACTTCAACTGGGTGACCGCCTGTCCATACATTTTAGAGAGTTTTCACATTACGCCACGGGAGCCATATTAATGTTCCAAGACAATGAAACGGCGGCCAAGTTGGCGTACCAAAGGCAATCTTGTGGGAGTTTTGTTCTTTTCTTATGTAAACGCTTTCTTTTGTTAAAGTAAATAGGCAGGAGATGCTGGCTGCGTGAGTTGATCACGTTTACATGATAGGAGGGGGCGGGTCACCCGCTCACATTTTGCCATGTAAACGTTTCAAGGCGGGATAACCCGCCTCCTCGGGAAAGGATTCATACTAATTACATCAAATAGGGACAAAAACTGCAAGCTCTATTCTTCAAGTGCCGTTAACCTAAAATTTTCTCTTTTTTTAATGAAAGTACATTGTACACATTACCTTTAACCTTTTTTTTTTGAAACGTTCAAATTTGCCTCCACTTTGGCACACTATTTGTCTTAGTATTCTCTCAGAAGCCTCTCGGAAACAAACGAGCTGGGACGAAGATTAAGAAACTATGACGTAAATTAAGGAACACGTGACTTTAGTTGAAAGTACACAATTGTGGAGTGCTAAAAATATTTCTTCCAATTCACAAACTGAAACAGCTGTTAAAAGATAAAACATGCCATGCAGTAAGATGCGTTGCAGTTAGATGCAACAACACTGGCCACCCAAAAAAGGGATAAGCACGCATGAAATCCCGTTTTCCAGTTCCTAAATTTTGAGGTTATGCTAATTTTTCCAAATTAATGCGGACAATACATATATCCAAGACTAGTATATTTCAGTGTGAGGATTGTCAATGTTTTACATTCAAAAGATGCGATCAATTCAAACTAAAATATACTGTCTAGTCATGGAGGTATGTAGAACTTGTATAGTGCGCATTATTTTGGAAAACTTGGCATAACGTCAAAACAGTGAATGTTGTAACGCAAATTCTTGACAGGTTTGCAGGATAGATTTGTCTTGAAATGTTAAGATGTTGCAGTAGTGAATCAATCTCAATAAAAGTTCCAGACATTATTATATACATTATGAAGATTATGTAAAGAGGTTTTAAAAATTTTTTCATTCTTTTTCACCAAGTTCGTCCAAACGAAAAATATTTTCCTTCTTGTTCGGACGACTCAAGAAGAAGGGAGACAAAAGACAACTAGAGAAAATACAGGTTGGGTAGCTTGTTTCAGGTAGAACAAGCCTGGAAATAACAAAGAAAGCGCAAACGGACATATATCACCTCGAAAAAGCTGCCGATCATCACTATTGCAATTAGCAGTAAGAGAAGACTATGTAACCGGATCCAAATGAGACTTCTCGGCGGTAGTAACCACCTGGCGTTTCTTCCTGTACGACTTCTCCTACGCTTTGTAATTTTATTTTCATCTTCTGAATTGTCTTCCAATTTCTCTTGCCCGTACTCTTGGACTGCCAACCAACACTTATCTCAGTGCTAGCTTGATAAGTATTTGTCGCTTTTATATTAAATCAAGAGAAGTTTCCATGGACTTCTGGGGCCGCAAAAGATCAGCTTTCTTGATAGTATCGAGCACAAAGGAACTATAGTCCTAGATTTCGGCATTTAACAAAAATTGTTTCTCGTTGCTTTTGGATTTGAGTTTCTTCGCCTCAACTTCTTGCTTGAGCTTCTTGGAGTCAGAGTCGGAGCTGTCTCCTTGAAAAGTAAATGCACGAAGCTTAGTGTCGATAAAAGACTTAGAATCTAATTTAGGATCAACAGAAAGGACTGACAAGTTCGAGATTCCTTCTGCTTGCTCCCGATCAACATCTTCGGCTACATACATGGTTTAAAGCCTAGGTTCATGGCGAAAAAAGTTTAGCGTCTCGTAGGTGCGACTAGACCTGAAACCTAGAATGAATATTCTAGTACAAATGCCCTGCTCATATGCTGTGAAAACGAACGAACAATGGTTCGTAATTAGAAAGTGTAAGAACAAATTCTTGACAAAAGATGCAAAGAAAAAAGCAAATACTTCTCATGCCCTCAAACGAAGGAAAATTCATTTCGTGATTTCCGCCTGGGACGTTGTGAGACATGATTTTAGAGAAAGCATCTGCCACAAATCTTGTATTATTGGTCAATTTATTAGGCTCAAATTTCTTTTAGCAACTGAGTATAATAGTCATAGTCTAGTCTCAGTTATTCGCTAGTTTTTTACATCAGTTTTAGCCTATGCAAGTTCTTTCCTTTTTTACCTCTTATAGAAGTTTTCTAAACCTTACTGGTTATGCTGCCCTATCTCAGCCAAGGCTAATATCGGTTGAGGTAGCGGAACATTTAAAACAATGATTTCCCAGTGTACACCAAGCCTGTTACTCCGACAAAAACACCAAAGATAATAATGAATACATCAAAAACATAATGGTACAGTTTAAGTTCTTTCTTTTTCAAAATGAGATGGAAAAGCGCCGGTAAAATGTACATTGTCGCTGATCCTGTCAAACTTGAAATAAAAGCCATATAGAGCACAAAGTGTGGAATTAAAATTGCTGGTAGGGGAGTAAGAACGTTTGTTGCAACCCGGATGCTAACAAACCAAACAACATGAGGTATTTCAAATGAAAACCAATCAGGGGACACTGAATCTTCGATTATTTGTATGATAATAATAGCCACAAAAGGATATGAAAAAACTACGTTCAAAATTAAAAAAGCGTTGACAATGATGCTAATAACTCCCACGGGAAGGCTATTAGAGATTACTTCTTGGATGTTAGAGCTGAATGACAAAAATGCACACACTGAAAAAACCACCTTTAAGGTGGCAACGAAACATAATGTGAGTCCAAGTACTGTGCGAAATTGCGACTTCTTTTCCAAACTAGCCTCAAGGCCAGGCAAAGTAGAGTGACAGTTGTAGCAGAATGAGATACAGATTGCCAATGTAACAGGTGCACTGTCTTTATCCCACACTAAGATTTCGCCTGGGGTCCATGATGGATGATGCACTATTCCATAGGATAAAATAGCAACAACAGCCATAAATATAGCTATCACACTAATCAAACTCAACCAAGCGACTTGAGAGAAATTCTTCAGAAATAGCGTCGGAAGTCCCACAGCGGCTGCAATAACAATCCAGGCTTTGTTTGACAGCGGTAAATCTGGAAAAATACCATTAGCAAGCGCAGAGGACAAGACCAGGTACAGAGAGGCGACAAGAAGAAGATGGATTAGCTGGATAGCGGAAACTATGGTGCCGCTGTAACGAGGCGAGCAAGCTTCACCAAGTTGTTTGAAGTTGGATCTGACGCGAACTCTTTCTCCAGCATCGTTTTCATCGTAAAGGCAGTCAATCAGAATTGCTCCAGTGTAGAAGGCGACAAAAGGAAGAACAACCAGTGCTGTTATCGCCACTAAACCACTCTGAGATATCGCATAAGGTAGGGCGAGAATACTTGTGCCCTCAATGTCGCTGATTAAGTTTATTAACGCTTTCCACCAAGGAGATTTATTTGCTGCTTCATCGTCTTCTGCTGCTTCATCATCTTCTGTGATCGATACTGGAGGTTCGTTTACTTCTGGATCACTTCGTAGCAAATGATACCTGTCGGAACGAGTTGTTTTTGGCATGTTCAAACTTGACTGAGTCTTTTAAACTTTCGGCGTCCTTGCTTTTGCTTATTAATGATCAAGCAGAGGCCTTAATACAACAGTAGTGAATACAGCACCTAAAAATTCAAGAATGATTTAAATTAANTTGGATCTGACGCGAACTCTTTCTCCAGCATCGTTTTCATCGTAAAGGCAGTCAATCAGAATTGCTCCAGTGTAGAAGGCGACAAAAGGAAGAACAACCAGTGCTGTTATCGCCACTAAACCACTCTGAGATATCGCATAAGGTAGGGCGAGAATACTTGTGCCCTCAATGTCGCTGATTAAGTTTATTAACGCTTTCCACCAAGGAGATTTATTTGCTGCTTCATCGTCTTCTGCTGCTTCATCATCTTCTGTGATCGATACTGGAGGTTCGTTTACTTCTGGATCACTTCGTAGCAAATGATACCTGTCGGAACGAGTTGTTTTTGGCATGTTCAAACTTGACTGAGTCTTTTAAACTTTCGGCGTCCTTGCTTTTGCTTATTAATGATCAAGCAGAGGCCTTAATACAACAGTAGTGAATACAGCACCTAAAAATTCAAGAATGATTTAAATTAACACTTTTAGTTTTTATGAAATAAATGAGTAAATACCATTTGGAATTTGGACGGTGATGTTGAAAGACTATATTAATAAAAAGGCACTCATCAGGATCGATCTCACTTGTGAATTAACAGATTTCGCTCATTTATCATGTTTATGGTGTCCGTTGAAAGCCTTTCATGCATTTATCAAATGGATAAAAAAAGTCAAATCAAACGGATTGCGATTTTAGTATACTATACAACTATCCCCCGAGGGGGGAGGTGAATTATTGTAGAAAACCGAGACGCGAAGCGTCCAGGTATATATCTAGCGCTATAAACCGACCCTGAGGGGGAATATAGTTGTTTTGTTACTGATTTACCAAGTCAGTTGGATAAAAATCGAAAAGGAACTTCTTAGAACAGTTAACAAAGACAGGCCAAATTTTGTCTCTTTCTTGGTCTTTGTTGGTGCAGCTTTTTCATTTACCGCTAGAATTTCATCTCATTCCAAACTGTCGCGAAACGAGAAGCCATTTTGAATCTCGTCCCAAAACAGTGAATATCAAAGGATATTCCGAGTTATAATAACGGGAGCCAAGCAGAACGCGCGAAAATTGCTGTCCACTGATTTCGTGATTCAGGCGGTGTGCGTCACGACCCACAAAGGTTCATGGGTAAAACTGTTTATGTGCCTTATTTCAATCGTGACACAGTCGAGTTCGTATCTCGTGAGAGAGATAAATCAAAACCCGGGATCAAAACACTGCTTCCTTTTCTGAAAAACATTACGGAGGAGAGCGACTTGGAGAATTCTCCAGATCTCGTGCCTTAGATGCTTGCTATTTGCTTAAAAGGTTAATTTCAATAAGTTTATCGCGATCGCGATGATGGAAGGTGCGATTTTAGCCGATTTTAGGAGGCGATTTCTTGCTTCTCAGAAGATTTTAGGTACTGTTTAGTGCTGTGCTTATATGTTAATTTCTATCTCACAAGAGTGAAAGAGCTTTGTAGCTCATACCTGGATTTGCTTAAATAAAAAATTGGTCTAATTAATAGTAACGTTCGATGGACTTTATTAACCGGACAAGGAGAGGGAGCGCGAACAAAGAGCATAGGTGAGAAATCTTGCATTGTTTCTCATAATTTTATTTTTCTCGACAATTTTATATTCTTTTGCAAACAGTGACTGTTTATAATCCTTGTAAGCAAATAAATCTTCTATAGGCGAGGCAAAACAGACCAAGTGTAGCGCCCGAACAGCTACAGCGCAATAGGAATTTCAACCCCGGGGTGGAGGTGACTCCGCATATAAAAGTGGTGGAGATGCTCGTCGTCTCGGTTAGGGGTGTAAATTTCGAATTTTGGTCTCATTTAGGGTGTTCAGGGCAAAACGCCATCATATTTAGCCGTGAAGGTCTCGTTTAAGGTTGCACGCGAAAAAATATAAAAATATATATTTGATATGCATATTTTAAATTCGTTTTATTTACCCCATTCATATAATCCAAGTTTTCTCATTTGTCAGTGTTTTAACATGGTCTCTTTGAGGGGTCCAAAAAACCTTAGGCGACGCCCAGATCGGTCTCCTTTAGGGGTTTAATTCAAAATTTCCGACGAGCATCCCCACCCCTTTCATATGCAGAGTCCCCCCCGGGATTTCACCGAAGCTACGGCCGCAGAAATAACCCACAATCTTGTCTGTACGTTCATTGAAGTGAGCGCAGTGTATCGATTTTGTTATAAACCTAACCTCACAGTTTTAAAATCCTGTATGCTGTAGTCTAGATCTTCGATAATGGTTTTGTGTTTTGGTTGAGATTTATTCCCTAGCGAAAATTTACATGAGGATTTGCATACACACAGCACACACTGCATGCAAATTATTTTAAAGACACGCTTTCAGTTTCCGTACTGGGTTATGAAAAATGTTTTGTTTCCAAAGGTTATCACAATATTCAACCTTTTTATCTTTTCTGGTTTAAAATGAAACAAACTCTTCCTGGATTTTGCGTTACTCGCTTCACGTCGGCTTTCGCTTCGGCAAGTTTCTCAGCCTGTTTCACGGGACTTGTGCTACTTGGCTGAGACAATCACTTCATTCCAAGACACTTTCAACGCCTCATTGTAAACGGGGAAACTAACAGGGGTAGACCCGAGTAGACCCCAAAATTTACAAAGAAGCAAGAAAGGCTGAAGTAAGAAGTTGACCGAAATAATCCGATAAACCGCTAACAGAACCAGCAATGAATCCAAGAAGAACGGCGAAGATAACACTCAAATCATCATGGCGGCTTGCACATGACCGAGCAATTCAAAGTTGTCGCAAACGCTCAAGAAAGCAAAATGTTTAAAAACAACGCAAATACTATCAAGATTAAGTGTTCCAACAACTTTCCTCGGCGGTATAGTGTCGAAATTACCTACACAAGCTTGGAATAAAGCGAAAATTTCACCACGTATAACTCTGAAAACGGCTCTTTCCAAGCGCGAAAATCACTCTACAAACGCTTTCTGATTGGTCGAATCTCGAATTGCAGGACAAAATTCTGTTCTAATGCTTTAAACTCCAGAGTGTAAACTGTAATAGCCTGCACGGCGTCAGTTTATTATTCGTGTTTTCGAATGCTTTAGTTATTGCGTGTCATCAGCCTTTAATGATTTCTTAATGAGAGGACCGAACTGATCAT